ACTGAGAAAACTCTAACTATTAAAAAAGTGACATGAACAGAATCATGAAATCTTTAACCTGACGTCACATGGGAGGAAGGAACACAGACGACATGACAAAGACTGAATTAAAAAACAGATTAAATACACACAGGAGGTGATCAGAGGAGGTGGAAATACATGGGGAAGCAGCTGACTGGAATGAACATAATGACACCACAGGGCAAAAGTAAAAATAAGCATATACATTGAACATGGAAACACAAGACTGTCAAAATAAAAAAGCAAACATGGAGAGACGTAGACATGATAACACAGGCTTGACGATATGAAACACACAGACAAGAAATACATGACAGACTAACAAAGAAAACCTAGGTGAAACATAACCTAGACTAAAACTCAAGGCAAACTAATAATAACCCTAGAACTCAACATTATTTCAAAATGTAACAAAAGAAATTAAAAACATAAACTGAAAATGCTGGATCACAGACCCAGCCACTGACAATAAAACAAGATTTTGGCATTAGATGGCTTTAACTCTAAATTTTATTAGTTGATGAAAGTAAAAATCTGTCTGGCCATATTGCATTACATTAGAATTGTATTCTACAAATGAATAAATATCAGTTGATTCTTAAGGAGTCAAGTTGGAATTGTTTTCAGATCTGATTGGTTTAACGTGGATTCATATCTACAGTTTTAGTCATAAACTCGATAAACCATAATTGTTTTCCTGTCAAGAGCTAAACAAGCATGCAGTAACATGATTATGCTTTTAATACTGGCACTCAAGGTATGCAAGAATATATGTTCAGGTACAAATTTGCTGTTTAATATACATTAAAATAATAAGAAATTATAACCAAGATAAATATAAAACATTCTATAAATGCATGTATGTAAATGACTGACTGAGAAAACTGTGCTCAAATATGGAAAAGCTTACAATGCATAGGGAAACCATCCTCTAAGTTGCTCTTACGAGAGATTAATTCCTTACCACAAATGTTTTACTCCATGTATTTCATCAATAAAACTTCAAACATAACATTAATGTTCACACTTGATCAGCTGCCTTCTCTGCTGTGCTGTTCTATAAATAAACATCATGATTTAAAGAAGAAATAATCATGTTGTCACTGTATTACAATATGAATTATACCAACACACACAGATTCTTATGGAGGTGTTGCTACTAGCTGTTAGTGCTGCGTGTTTCACTGCTCATCTTAGTAGCCGAGTTTTTAGCCTTTCTCAGTGACATCACAAACCAAAGGAAGATGAAAAAACCTGCAGTCACAAAGGAGAGAGAGAGAGAGAGAGATGTACAGGTTTAGATGGGAAAAGGATGAGTTTATGAAATTGGCTCTAATAATGCATCTGTGTCAAATCTCTGTCAAGTCACTGTGTATCCATATCCAACACAAAATCTTACCTATCTTTTAGACAACATAAACAGATTTTTAACAGAAATCTTAAATATTTCATTGGTCCTCATTAGGCAGAAGAGAGAGTTCATGTCTCCCCTATAATGGAAAGTAACGTCACATTTACAGTCTATTATTACACAGCAGATGTTTAATAATAATGCAGATTTTATTGATCCCCATGGGGAAAG